ATTTGCTGTTTTTTTTTTTTAATTTTCGAAAGTTTTTACGTCTGTTTAGTGGTATATATCACGCAAAATTACGTCGGGTCTTGATAACTGACGTAAATCTACGTCGGGCTAAAGGGTCCGACGTAAATTTACGTCTCCCATTTTAACGTCGGACTTAAATACGACGTAAAAAGCCCTAAATACCTGACGTAAAAACCCATTTTTGCACTAGTGAAAACTAGTTCAATAATAAAAAAATAACTTTAAAGTTTATGGAATGTAATTGCTAAATGTATTAAATATGATCTTTAATGTAGTTATTAGATAATATTCGATTTAGTTATACTAATTATGTATTATGTGAAAGGTTTGAGAAGTAAATAAATGTTAGAATTTTGATTTTCATTAATTACTCTAAATAGTTTAATTACTTATGTTTTTACTTTATATTTAATATAAAAGAAAAAGATATAAAAAAGTGTTATATAATATTTTCGACATCATATATTTCACTTTTAATATAAACTATTATATTTGTCACTTAGATTATTCATATACTATGTGAATTAAAACTTTGAAGTGTTTAAGAACTGAGAATAAAAGGAAAAATATTTCCTTAATATCTTATCTAAGTTATGGATTAAAAACAAAAATATAATTTGTTAATATTTTGTTATCTAAAAGTGAATATTTTCATGTAAAATTTTATGCATATATTATATTGTTATAGTTCAAGAAAAACTAAAGATGATACTATTTCTACAAAATTAGAAAACATGTTAAGTATTTTAAGGTATAAGAAAGAAGACAAGGTTAAGAGACTTTAAAAAATGTGTAGAAGTCAATTTTAAAGTATAGATGGTGATTTCTTAATACTAGATGTGATAACTAAACAAAATGTTACATATATAATGATTGAAAATGTTATTAAAATGTGACAACCAATCATTATCCATTCACTAATTTGAGATATTGCAATAGAAGTTATTAATGATGAATATTGGATAAAAGTTAGAAATATGTGAGTTTTTAGCCTCTTTTATGATATTACTAATTTAATTTTTAGATTATTTTATCTCTCCTTTACGTCTCTATTATGAAGATGAGATTGAATAAAAAATTGACTAATAAAGATGAAGTAATCGAAGATATGACAACAAGAATGAAGATAGAGTTTGAAAAATATTAGATTAACTATTTTATTATTCTTTTTTTTTATATGTTATTGATCAAAAGTTAACATTAATTTCTTTGTTATAAAAGACTTTATATATAATTACAAAGATAATGTTAATAAGATAAATAATAATTTATATTATTACTATCAAATCACAATATCAACTTTATTTATAATTAGCTCAAGAGATATTTGATCTTCTTGTCAAATGTGAAGAGAAAATTTCTCATAATCTATTATTGAGTTAAATTTTACTTATATGATTTGTTTTCTTTCATCTATATTTTAAATTTTAATAAACTTTGCTTTATCATAAAAATAATAAATAATTCTCAAATAATGATAAATCTTAACCTTTATTTAAATTAATCATGTTTTGATAATAATTTGGATGTGAGCTCATATTAGAGATTGAATAAGTATCGATTTCCTATTTTTCAATTAAGACTCGTGATATTTTAAACATTTCAATCATAATAGTAGTTTTAAAATTTTCATTTAATATTGTTGTTCATATATTAAACAAGTATATAAATTGTTGATTTGCAGAAAGTGTACAAGTTTTTAAATATGCAATCTGATCTTTATAATGATAAGGAGATATAGGTTGAAGGTGAAACTTAAACGTTAAATTAGTAATATCATGAAAAGATCTAAATCCTCACACATTGTTAAACTTTTTTTCAATCTTCGTGAGTTGTACAAACTTTTATCACTATATCCCAAATTAGTGAATGCACGATAATACTTTATAACAATTTCAAGCACTATATATGTAGCATTTCATTTAGTTTTATATTTAGATTGAAAAACTACCACCTATATCATTTAAATACGTTTCTTTGACATAATTTTGGAGTTTTATGAATGTTTTATATGGTAGTGTAACATACTTAACATTTTCTTTAATTTTGTATAAAATATCATCACTCATGTCTTCAATCTTTTTTGGATTATAATATTTAAGATATGTGCACAACATCTAATAAGAAAATATTTACTTTTACGTAATAAAACATTTTGCAAAATTAAGTCTTCTTTATTTTTTGTTTTTAATTTTTCCCATATTATTAGAAGATAAAATATTGTTCAATGTGAGAGAAAATATTTTTTCTTCTATTCTTAGTCCTTAAAGAACTTCAAACACTTTCTCGTATAGTTTTAATATAGTATATGAATTATCTAAGTGACGAAATAAAGTAATTTATGATTTAATTTCTATAATAATAAAATCAAAAACATATTTTAACAAAATTATTAGATAATACATTCTTTTTGTTTATTTTTCTTTGTTATTAAATATAAGTTATAAACATTCATAATTAAATATTTCTAATAATTAATTTAAAATAATAATTTAAAACTTTATTTTACTTTTCAAACATTTTTATACTCAACATAACTAAATAAAAAATTATATTTAATAATACATCTAATAAATGTATTTCAATAAACTTTAAAATCAATTTTTTATGATTTAAGAAATTAATATTATTATCTAATATAAAACTTACCTGATACTTTTAAAAATTTGAAATTTTTATATATGATACATTTTTTCAGTATCTTACATTTACATTCCTCGAATACATCAACTAGAGTCTCTATTTTCTTAAACTCTCTATCTCTTTATTAAAGATTATCCCTTAATATAGAACTCCGAGATTGTTATAAATGTGTTACTAATTGGAGATGCATTTTTGGTAATAGTGTGTAGCCACAATTTATAAATAGTAATTGAGATGAAGGAGAAGTTATATGAAGAGACTTAAAAAAGAAAAACAAGTACTTTCATGTGTTACGCTGCTGAATAAGAGAGCAAGAAAATTGAGGTTTAAAGTGTGACGACAACGAGGAAAAAATTGAGCAAAATATTTTATATTTAAGATTTTTTATTCTTTCTAGAATATATATATATATATATATATATATATATATATATATATATATATATATATATATATATTATTTTATTTTATTTTTTGAGCCAAACAGAGTAAATTAAAAATATTTATTTATATCTAGGTCAATTTTTTTAATACCTATTCATAAATTAGAGAGACTAATGACATATTATCAAAGAGAAATTGTCCTCAATTTCTTCATTTTATTTCTTATATTACATTAAAAAAATTAACTAAATATGATCGAACACATTTTTTTTCTTAAATAAAATTTAGGATAAAAAATAAAATATTTTTTATGAATTAAAAATAATTTATATAAAAAATAGTTTATAAAATTTTATTCATATAAATTTTTAATTTTTTTTAATTTGTACAATAACTAATTTTAATATATGATATTTTGTCTAAGTGTCTTTTGATAACCCTTTCTAACCTTATCTATGTCACCATTTAATTTTTTATCGTCTTGGTGAAAATTTTTCATTTTACATTCGATGACTGTGTACTCATTCTAATTATTTCATAGATATTCGGATCTCTAAATTGAATATTAATATATTATCATATTTCTTAAAAGAATTTGTTGATAGTTAAAAATATTTTTTTAGTTACAATTTAAAATAATTTTTATAAATCTAAAAATACATATATATATATATATATATATATATATATATATATATATATATATATATTTATCAAATATTTATCAAATATTTATTCGTTATGAATTTTTTATTATATAATTTTGTTTTAAATTGTGAATTTTACCTATTAAAAAAAGTTACAATGCGTAAAGCAAAGGTTAGAAAGTACAACTGAGAGTGAATTTATCGCTTGTTGAATGAATGAAAAAAAATTATTGTCTGAAATTATGCTAATTAAAAAATAAATTGATTAGTTTATTATTATTCATTAACGTAAAACTATTTATTATTTTAAACTTTTTGTATTAAAACTGGACAAAAACGTCATTTTCTCTAATATTAATGCCAGTTATCAGGGAGATATTTTCTTGTGTCTCACATAAAATCAAAATTTCTGAGTTCCCCATTTTTCGTTTTTAATAAACAGGAAATTTATTATACTTTGTCCTATTTCTCTCTTTTCTATTTTCTGTTTTCTATTTCTTTAAAGGAAAATGATACTTAAATAAGTTAAATTTATACAATTTTTATAAAGATCTCTCTTTTAATATTATAATAATAGTTTTATTTTATTTTTATGTTTAGTTTTATTTTATTTTTATTAAATTATTTTATAAATTATTATATTAATAAAAATGAATTGTTTAAAAGATTGTATAATTTTTGATGGTCAAAATATCAACTCTCTTCTTTAAAAGCAAGGTGAGGTTCACCATTTCTTTGTAATAATATATAGGATCAAATGAAAACGGTAAATAAATTTGTACAAAATAAAAAATTATCCTAATATTACAAACATTTCAATGTCACAACTTCATAATTCAAATACACTTTCTATGCTTCGTGATATTTCACGAATAAAACGTGGTCGGTGTTTGTTGCCATTATTGTATACCTGTTGCCTGTTGTGTTCGAAGGAGAATCTTTCTAATGTTTTGTTTGATTACTTAGTAATATATATGGACGAACGAAAATAAATAAATAAATAAATTATACTTTCAGTATTAAAATTTTCTAAAATTAGACATGATGAATAAAATATAATGATATTTATAATATTTTGTTTTAAAATTAAATATACTTTTAGTCTTTGTAAAAAATGTTATTTTATTGAACTCCCAAAAAATCAAAGTATGGATCCATTATCCTTCCACCCACATAGAGCCAAAGTTTCCACGTCCATATACTATGTTTAAAAGTTTATAAATATCCCCAAAAGGTTGATCTTTATCTGAGAGCACAACGAGAGGCATCTAAACACACTCCAAATTCTCCACCAAAACCTTCACCATGTTGATGAAATACTTGGCTCTGTTTTACTCTCATCTCAAATGGGTGTTGGATTTCCTTCTTTATTACCCTTTCTACAAGCTTCATGATTCTGATATGCCAATGATTGGAGAAACCCAAAGCATATGCCACTATGCACACGCCCCTGGCACAGAGGAAGATGATGTTGATTGTGCTGTTTGTCTGTGCGAAATTGGAGATGGTGAAGAGATTAGAGTGCTTGGGTGTGAACATTGCTTTCACAGAAACTGCTTGGATGCATGGATTGCTCTCAAAAATGTCACTTGCCCTCTCTGCAGAGAACCAGCGAGACCAAGAAGAAGCATCAATGAGGTTGGAGCTGAAGTTCTATGGTTTGAATTTTGCTCTGTCCACACTCATGAGGGTGATAGGTGGTGGCTCCGATGAGTAATCTATCATGGTTAAAGTAATGGCGTGTGTGCCGTACAGGCAACGAAGGATAGGGTTTATTTACACCTAGCATAGGTATATAAACACTTGCAAAATTTCAACTTTTGTTTTGTAATGTTTCAAATAATATGATGGACATGGTTTCTGCAAGTTAAGTTCACGTCAATGGTTGTTAAAGATCTGAACAAAGAAGAATTGTCGATGGATTTAGTATAAGTTGACCTATAACTGCAAATTAATCCCAATCTAATAAAGAAATATTATTGTGAATGTTATTATATCTTATATAACACTTTTTTTTATGATTTTGTAATTTTTGAAAAAATTTGACTTGGATTTGAATGCTTTACAAGAATGTGTTGTTTGTAGTGTTTTTACAGCAGTAGTTTAACAACTTCAACTTTTTCTTTTCTTTTGCCGTGTAAAATGGGTGAATCGAGTTGGTTCTTTAAAGTTTTCTAACTGCATTACTTAAAAAGTTATAATAATAATAATTGCAGTGTAATCTTGTAATGTTAAAAAATGTTTGAATCAAGATTAATTACAAATTTATTATTTTTTTAATATAAACCTTGAGCATTTTAACCTATTAAATTAATGAGCTAATTTTATTAAAAGTGAGTATGTAAATCATGGCAATAATGACTATCATCACACACACATATATATATAAAAGAAAAGATCAAATTGAATAAAAGGTTCGTGGTAAACAATAATGAAACCAAATCTCATTTTAACTATATGACTCTTAAAATTGTGTAGTGATATATTTTTACTTAAAGGATTAATTATCATCAAATAAACAATTCAATGTGTTTAGTAATAATTTTCTCATTTTTAAAACGTTATTTATAATTAAAATATTTAATATAATAAAATAGATACAGAGTTGTCACATAATAAATTCAACGGCTTAGAAATAAAATCTAACATAAGAAACAACCTTAATTTACAGTGAAAGTATTAAACCATACATCATTTGATAACCTAACATAAGAAACAACCTTAATTTACAGTGAAAGTAATAGTCAAGCATAATATTTCTCATAAGATAGCTCCAAAAATGTTTGAATCATTAATCAAGATTAATGACATATTTATTAGTTTGAATAATAATAATAATAAAAAAAACAAGTTACACTTGGTTCCGTGTAGAAAAATTTATGTATATAATATATTAATGAAAAGTAAATATCTGTTGTTTAGGAGCACCATTTTCTATTATGAGAAAGGGGAATCTTGAAATCAATTGTTAATTAAGTTCTAGTGGGGCTGCGCAGCCATTCTATGACATGAAAGGTCGAAGTAGTAGTAATTATAACGATATTCAATTGCTCTCAGTAATAGTTTTATTTTGTATTTTTTACAAAGTGGATGTTACTTTTGATAATTTATGTTGTGGTATTTTGGTGTCTTAGTTTCAACATTTTTTAATACTATGTTATGTTTGACAACAAGATAAATTTTAACTTTTTTTTATTAGCTTAAACGTTAATTAGTTGATGACATAATTGTTAATAGGATGGTAAAATTGGTTTAACCTGTTCTATTTTATTCCCTCCTGTCTCTTATTTATAAAAAATAGGACAGAGGAACACTAACCGACTATAATCCACATAAGTCATAGATTTTAGTTTTGTGATTATCATTTTTCTAGAAAATAAAATGGATGAAGAAAATAATTGATTGCATTATTATTTAAAATTAATATAGTTATTAATTATATGTTTAAAAATTTTATTAAATTTTTTATAAATGATTATTTTGTTAAGATATTTTATTCATATTCTAAAAATTAGTCTAATAATATTATATATATAATATTATTATAAAAAATATGCTGCTGTATTTTTTAATATTTATAAAAAAGTTATATTTGATTAGAAAATAATATAAGTTATGTATATTATGAAGGATTACAAATACATAAATTTTATGTTTTAAAAGAAAAATAATGATTAATTTAAAATTGTCATCCCAGGCTAGTCTGTAGTTTCTAGGAAACTTCACGAATCTTGACTTGTTGGACAATTGGATTTGGACGTAACATGTCAAGTTATATGGTCATCAACATACATATTATTAGACTTGAGAATATACCAAGAGTTGTGGTGGGAGGTTTGTAAATTTAACTCGTAAATTCAAAGTATGGACTCATAAGGATTTATTTTATATAAAAAATACTAATTTAATAAAAAATACAATAATATCAATTATATATTATCAAAATAAAAAAATAATTGAATTCATACAAAAAATATAATCAAAATTAAAAAAATAATAAAAAAAATATATTTCAATTTTTAAAATATTTTTATTTATTCAAAATTCTAAAATCTCAATTCCTTCAATCTCTATATCTAACTTGGTCTCGTCTATTTGAAAATTCTATAATTTCATATTTCTCAATTTAATTTAGAAGGTGATGAGTAACGACGACAATAATGAACAGATGATAAAAGGAGCGTAACCATCACACGACAAACACACGATTATTATGCAACTACCGCACGACCAATGTGCTACCCAAACGAGCATCGTATGACCAACGCGACTATTAAGCAATGGTGAAGTAAGAAGTAGTGAAATATGAACTTGCAAAAAGAAACTAAGAGAGTAACAGAGAATCTAAGTTTCTTTTCCTTCAAATTCGATGACTCACCTCAGACTCACGAGTTTACTTAGAATTCACCGATTTTGACTCCGAATCTACTTTAAAAAGAATTTACTCACGAGCTAACTCATAATCAATTACTTCACTTGTTAACTCATAAAAATAATCGAGTTGACTCGAGAATTTGATAATCAATATATACACTATATTTGTATGTGATTCGTATTTTTTTCTGTTTATCATAATTATCATATATTAAATACGTGTTTGTTTTCTTCGGTATTCAACGTGCATGGTTAAGCGACTTCTGTTCTATTCTGTTTTTAATTCCTAGTTCTACGGATTTTAAATAATTGAAAAAAATATAAATTATAAGACGTTGAAAGTCGTAACTAAGTATGATTCTTTAATATTTAGAAGTCTCTCATATCGTTATATTATATTTTTCTCTCATCTCGTTATATTATATTTTTTAGAAGTTTATTAATTTTTTAAAAGAATTGTCATTGGCAAGATTCGAACCCAGTACCTTAGAGTTAGAGGTCGATACTCCAACCACTAAACTACTAGAATTTTCTAATAATAATTTACAAATAAATTATATTTATATACAAATAAATATATATCCGTGTAAATATATAAATACAAATATATTTATATATTTTGATATATTTATTTATTTATATATTTATATGTTGGATGTAAGGGCACACTCGAAAGTAAAAGTGTGCGTCGAGTGAATTTTCAAAATTTGATGCTAAATTTGTGAGCAAGTATCTTTATATGAGTTTGTAATTTAATGATAAAATATAATCTTTATAATTTTATTTATATAATGATATAAAATAAATTTGGGAAACGCGTCATTCGCTCTCAAGCGAAAAATACCAATTTTTGCTCAAGCGAGGCTTGAGTGAGTGAATTTCAGTGAGCTTTAACATATTTTCACTCAAGCAAGAGTCAATCCCACTTTCACCCTTAATCGAAAAATACCAATATAATTTATTTGTAAGTTATTATCAAAAAATTATAGTAGTTTAGTGGTTGAGATATTAACTTTCAATTCTAAAATACTGCATTCAAATGTCTGTCGGTGACAATTCATTAACTTAAGTGAATTTTTGGTTGAAAAAAAAATAAAAATATTTTCCAGAAAATATATACAAATAAATATATATTTACATGGATATATATTTATTTGTATATAAATATAATTTATTTGTAAGTTATTATCGGAAGATTATAATAGTTTAGTGGTTAGAGTATTAGTTTTCAATTCTAAAATCCCGAGTTTGAATCTTGTCGATGACAATTTTCAAATTTAAGTAAATTTTTGAGTGAAAAAAAAATACTTTCTACGTCGGTTCATATGAGAACCGACGTGAAAAGTGTCAATAAGTGAAAAAAAAAAAAAAAAAGATTAATTATCATGAATAGAGAAACAATAAATCAACAAATATGTTTTCAATATTCATTATCATGAATAGAGAAACAATAAATATGCAAGTACCTTAGTATTCCTACTTCATTTTTATGGCAATGTTTCCTTCATATTTGAGTGGACATTAATTAAGAAACATAATACATGCGGTTCAAAATAAAATCAGTGACTAATATATTTGAGTGAGAAGAAGCAGATCCCAGAGATTAATAACTAAAAAATTATATTGATATAATAGCTTTGTAAGTTGTTTCTTTAACCAAAAGTATACATATTGGAAATTGGGGTTTGTGTCGGGGGAGAAAGAAAGGGTCCATTGGTAAAATTGGGAAAGAGACAGATAAAAAAGAAAATGAAGTATAAAATGATTTCAACCCTTCAATTTAGTGGAAAATATTTTCTCAACGTGGAAGACACGTGATGGTCTCCCACACTTTCATCTTTCTTTTCAGAAATTTATAAGAATAATTTGTTTACAATAAAAAGAAATTGAATGGATAATGCAAATATTGACTTAAGAGAATTGAAAATCTAAAATATTGAAATCATGTAATTATAATATCTAAAACCTTAAAGTGCAATTAATTCTAAACTAATATTCTTGTGGCCGTAAGAGTGGAGAGCATATTTAGCACGAAACTTGGTTATAACTTTTGGTATAGATGCAGGCAGTTAGGGGGAAGTCTTTTCCATGCACCAATCAGTCACAATCAACACTAATTCTCACCAAACTTATTCTCATTAGGTTACAATAAATCCACACAACCATTCCACCATTTCATCAAATCAGGATCATCAACCATGAGCCCTCTAATCAGGCTAGCCTTAACAATCAACTTCATTTCCACTTCCCATACCTTCACATCGCTCTTTAACCTCTTAACTTTCCCTCATACCCTTCTCAAATGGACATCACATTTCATTTTCCTCCACTTCTCCCATCCCTTATCATGCACCCTCTTTCGAGATAACTCCGCAACCTGCACCTCCATCTCACGGGAAGATTGCGCCGTCTGTCTCTGCAGAATGGAAGAAAGAGAAGAAGAGATTGTAACCCTGCGCTGTGAACATGCCTTTCACAGAGGTTGCTTCGACACTTGGGTTGCTTTCAACTCTGCCGCCACCACCACTTGCCCTCTCTGCAGAGATTCAGTGTCTCCAAAACGGAAGATTGTTGGAGAGTGTCAACCTCGTATTCTTCCATTTCATTCTTCTTGTTCTATCAACAATCATGAATCTGAGATAAAGTGGTTACGATGAGCCATTAAAATTTCAGCTTAACAAACACCGACAATTCAACGTCCGTGACATAACACCTTAAATTTCAGTTCATGATGTTGTGTTCTAATGTTATCATGCAAACTCTTGTATACAGAATATGAGGTTGGTATATTCCACTATACTAGAAAGTCACGGTTTTCCTGTGGGATTTTCAGCTGGAACTTCTTGCAAGTTTTTTTTTTTTTTTTCCTGTGATTTTAAATTCTCTAGGGATTTCTAATCAAAGAAAAAAAAAAGTTATTGCAATGTTTTCTTCCGTATTTAAATTTTGAATAAAAAAAACGAAAAATTTATTTAAAGTTTTGTAAGAATTATTGCAACTAATTTCCTAACAATTTTTCTTATAAATTTTTAAATTTTTTGAAAAACGATCAAGACATACTGTTCTATTGGAATAATCAAAATTAGAAACTGTGTAAAATTGACCTAAACTTTTTAATTGTTATGTCTTTCTAAATATGAACCACTAGTCACATACTTTTAAAGAAAAATCAACCATCGTATTCGTATATATAGAATGATTGAATAGCCATATTAAATAAAGTTAACATTTAAAATCAAATCAAGATCTATAATTAGAGAGATTGCGTGACGCAATCATAAACTAATAAGCTTCCATAACACTCTTTTAAATTAGTTATTTAATAATCGTTTTAATACAAAAATTCGGTAACATAAGTATAATTGTTTAAAAACAAAATCAATTATTAAATAATAACTAACATGACACAAATTCCATTTAATATATATCTAATTTACTTCTAATTAAAAAAAGTTTTACCATATCCACATTTTTTATTATATTTATATTTGATAAACGATTCTAGGTGGGACTTATTCTATTAGGGATAATTAAAAAAACATAAATAAAATAAATATTTTTAAACTATTATTATTATTATTATTATTGTACTTATTTATATAACTAAATTGAAATTCTTATTTTATCGAATTTTTTGATTTATTTTTTTAAGAAAAAAGTAAATTCTAATCATCATTATCCACATTAAATTGGAAGCTTATATAATTGAATTAAAATATTTATTTTATCGAATATTTTGATTTATTTTTTTAAGAGAAAAAAATAGTAAATTCTAATATCGTTGTGCATATTATATTGTACGCTATGCATTAGTGTGTAGTTATAAATAATTTAGGGAGATGAATATAATAATGTTGATATGATTTTGAACACGTCATGTATTTAAATAATTATTATTATTGTTGATTATTTGTGTGTTTAAGACATGCTAAATTACATTTATGAAGTATTATGGTTTATTTTATTATTACATTAGAGAATGTTAATATAAATATTTAGTTCCCAATGTTGAGTAGTAGATATAATTTTAATAAATTAGAGGCTAGTCACAGGATTTTTAATTGATTAATATTTATAATCACATGCTAAACGTATTAGTTGAAATTACTTATGTAATGTAATGAAATAAATGCACAAAAATATTTCTTACATTTATATGGTTAATTAAAATAAAAATTGGATTATATTTCTTAAATTAGCCACAAGAATTAAGAATGAGAATATAATTTAATAATTTTCTTATAAGTTATATGAGTTTAGAAGAGTAAAACTTTAGCCCACAAAAAAGTTTTATCTCATTATATTCATTAATTAAGACATGTTTTGTACTAGTTAAATATGATATTTATTACAGTCTCCAATTATGAGATGACAAACATGTATTTTTAAAATTTGTAGTTTTTCAATATGTAAATATTTTTATTAATTATATGATATTCCTAAACTGAAAGAGGATAATTATAAGATTTGAAAGGGTAATATTTTTTCTCCATTTGGGTTTGATGAACATTATAGGAAACCCAAATTATTGATTATTATAAAACTAACACTTTAGATATAATTGATCTTTATGAAAAATAAGAGAGGTTAAAGAGTCTTTCTATAGTGTTCATGAAAAGAAAACCAACATTTTTGTTGGAATTAGGGGTTTTACTTACCATTATAACAATGTGAGAAATTAAAGATCATTGATGAGTAATTTACCATATTTGATAAATCTCTTGTAAACAAATCTTATAATGTAATTTTAATCCTTAAAACTCATCGAGATTAAGGGAGTATGTGATTATATCATGTACATAAAAGACATCGTGACTCAATTGAAAGTCTTAGAGGTCATCGTGTATCGATTATTTTCTAATACATTATATTTTGTGTGCTTTGTCACATAAATATGTCTTTTTTAAAATTTCTTATAACATATATAAAAATAACTAGTCTATTAATGAATTCTTGACCATGTATATTCAAGACGAAAAAATATTATTTATGAAAAAAGATGAAATAATGAACTTGACTACTTTTAAGAAAAAGAATAATCATTAATAAGATGCGAAAGACTTCAGCCAATTATAAAGAAGGAGTTTAAGTTTTTCTTCTATAAAAAAAGGGACATATGAAGAAGGATTATCTAAAATTTAAGAATTGGGAGAAGAAAGATAATTCCTTTGCTTTTTTTCTATTATTAATCTAATATTGTGGCCCCCTTTTTATTAATATATAATCTAGTTATTAATTATATTGTAAGATGTGATTATTTTAATTAAATATTGACAAAAGTAAGACATGAAATAAATATTTATACATTTATATGTATAAATATATGAAATTTATAAGTTTATATTATTTTCATGTTAAAAATAACTATTAAAATTGATAAGTATTTTTCTAATAAAAATAGTTGATTTATCAATAATATTTGTCTTTCTTGTTGGTGTTTTCATCTATTTAAGTTGATATTTTAGTTGTATCATGTACAAGAAATAAAATAGAAAAAGGATAATAAATATCATATAAAATAATATTATCTCAAATTAATATACAAAAATCACATTTTCTATTTAATCAAAATATTTCATTTTATTTTATTTTAGAAAGATTTGAATTGATGATTGTAGTAACTAGTAAGAATAAATGAACTCAAAATTAATCATTCTTTACTGATAATTATTCATTTGAATTACTAATGTTGAACCTCCAATTACAATGTCATAAGATTTTCATAAATAAAATATTTTTTTTGAAAAATTGAAAAACTATTAAACAATATAAATGTAAAATAATAAAGAAAATTAATGTATAATTAGAGATAAATAAATAAATATAAAAATGACTAATACATAATTGAATATATATATAAAAGAGGACTAATATGTAGATAAAAATAAAATAAATAAAATAAAATTAAACACATCTCACTTAACAAATATATAATAAAATAAATAAATAGAATTATAGATATTTCATTCCGTTATGTTACCAATTTTACATATTTATATATGATAAATCAAAATTTAATCAAGGTTATTTATATAACTTCTTTTTCTTTATTCCTTTTCTCTCTCTTTCTCATTTTTATTTTCTTTATTCTTCTTTTCCTCTCCTTCCCTTTCTCTCTGTTCTCTCTTTCCTTCCCTTTCTCTCTCTTTCCTTTGTTTTCTTTTCACCTCCTGACTTCCTTTATACCTAAATGTCACCTATATTTCTCTCTTTATTAAATGTGTATTTATCTCTTTTTTCTTAAGAGATAAGCATCTTATTTTTTTTTAATTAATTAATTAGTTTTTTAAATCATTAGTTAAGTTTTTAATTCTTATATTCATATACATATATGTATATTTTTTTTATTTTTTAATAATTAATTTTTTTATAACATTTATATATATTAACCATTTTTTTAATAATTTAACTATTTTTTATAAATGGGTTTTTTATTATAAAAAAATTTAATTAATTAACATATAAATGAGTTTTTTTATCATACTAAAAGGGGATCGAGATGACATTTGAATATTGTAAAACATTTACTCATTAACTCATTATGCATTTACACATAACCCGTGATGTCCTACTAACAGGCGATCGAGATGACATTTGAGGCTTTATAATACTCCTCTCACAACTGCTTATAATATAAATTATAATAAAATCCGTCAAGTCCTGCTAACAGGGAATTTTGCAAAACTTTTACTCATTAACTCATTATGCATTTCCACATAACGAACTATTAACAGGGAACTGAGATGACATTTGAGGCTTTGTAATACTCTTCTCACAACTGCGCATAATATAAATTATAATAAAATCCATGAGATATCAAATGTCCATGAAGTCCTACAAACAAGGGACTGAGATGACATTTGAGGCTTCCGACATAACAAATTCTAGTTATATTAGTATATCTTTATTAAGATAATTGTTGCTGCGACTTATACGAAATTTAAAAAGTTTAAATTAGTTAAACATATTTTATCTCATCTAACTAATTTAAACATATTCTAGAATGTTCAATTTACTTCCCCACTTCCTTCTGGTTCCCCTCTTCCACTTCCTTCTACTCAAACCTAATCCTTAATTCACTTGTGGTTAGCAAGCGATACATGTTAACTTTACTAACAATATTAAACTCTTGCATTGCAAAAGTTATACCTTCTTTATAAAGATCTTCAACTTCTAAAGCAAGTTTTAATTTTGCAAAACATTTACTCATTAACTCATTATGCATTTCCACATAACCTGTGAAGTCCTACTAAGAGGGGACCGAGATGACATTTGAGGGTTTGTAATACTCTTCTCAAAACTACTCATAATATAAATTATAATAAAATCTGTGAAATCTTACGAATATGGGGATCGAGATGATATTTGAATCTTGCAAAACATTTACTCAATAACTAATTATGCATTTCCACATAAGTCGTGAATTCCTACTAATAGGGGACCGAGATGATATTTGAGGTTTGGTAATACTCTTCTAACAACTTCTCATAATACAAATTATAATAAAATCCATAAAGTCTCAAAACTGCTCATAATATAAATTATAATAAAATCCATGAAGTCCTACTAACGAGAAATCGAGATGACATTTGAGGCTTCCGAGATGACATTTGAGGCTTCCGAGATAACAAATTCTACGTATGTTAGTATATCTTTATTAACATGATTGTTGGTGGAACTTATTTGAAATTTAAAAAGTTTAAATTAGTTAAACATATTTTATCTCACATAACTAATTTAAACATATTCTAAAATGTTCAATTTACTTCCCCATTTCCTTCTGGTTCCCCTCTTCCACTTCCTTATGCTCAAACCTAATCCTTAATTCACTTGTGGTTAGCTAGAGATACATGTTAGTTTTACTAACATTATTAAACTCTTGCATTGCAAGAGTTATAGCTTCTTTAGAAAGATCTCAACTTCTAAAGTAAGTCTTAGTTTTGCAAAATATTTACTCATTAACTCATTATGCATTTCCACATAACCTGTGAAGTTCTATTAACAGGGGCCGAAATGACATTTGAGGCTTTGTAATACTGTTCTCATAATATAAATTATAATAAAATATGTGAAGTCTCACAACTGCTCATAATATAAATGATAATAAAATTTGTGAAGTTCTTTGAACAGGGGACCGACATTTGAATCTTGCAAAACATTTACTCATTAACTCATTATGCATTTCCACATAACCCGTGAAGTCTTACTAATAGGGGACCGACATGACATTTGAGGCTTCTGAGATAACAAATTCTACGTATGTTAGTATATCTTTATCAAGATATTTGTTGGTGAGACTTATATGAAATTTAAAAAGTTTAAATTAGTTAAACATATTTTATCTCACTTAACTAATTTAAACATATTCTAAAATGTTCAATTTAGTTATGCACTTCCTTGTGGTTGCCATCTTCCACTTCCTTCTGCTCAAACCTAACCCTTAATTCACTTATGGTTAGTTAGAGATACATGTTAGCTTTACTAACAATATTAAATTCTTGCATTGCAAAAGTTATAGCTTCTTTAGAAACATCTTCAACTTCTAAAGCACCTCTTAATTTTGCAAAACATTTACTCATTAACTCATTATGCATTTCTACATAACCTGTGAAATCATACTAATAGGGGACTGAAATGACATTTGAGGCTTTGTAATATTCTTCTCACAACTGCTTATAATATAAACTATAATAAAATCAATCAAGTCTCACAATTGCTCATAATATAAATTATAATAAAATCTATGAAGTCCTACTAACAAGAGACCGAGATGACATTTGAGGTTTCCGATAACAAATTCTACGTATGTATGTTAGTATATCTTTATTAAGATAATTGTTGGTGGGACTTATATGAAATTTAAAAAGTTTAAATTAGTTAAATATATTTTATCTCACTTAACTAATTTAAACATATTCTAAAATGTTCAATTTACTTCCCCACTTCCTTCTGGTTCCCTCTTCCACTTCCTTCTGCTCAAACCTAATCCTTAATTCACTTATGGTTAAGTAGAGATACATGTTAGCTTTACTAACAATATTAAACTCTTGCATTACAAAACTTATAGCTTTTTTAGAAAGATCTTCAACTTCTAAAGTGAGTCTTAATCTCACAAAACATTTACTCATTAAGTCATTATGCATTTCCACATAACTCATGAAGTCCTACTAATAGGGGACAAAGATGACATTTGAGGTTTTGTAATACTCTTATCACAACTTCTCATAATATAAATTATAATAAAATCTGTGAAGTCCTACTAATAAGGAACCGAGATGACATTTGTGGTTTTGTAATACTCTTCTCACAACTTCACAACTTCTCATAATATAAATTATAATAAAATCCATGAAGTCGGGATCGACATGAAATTTTGTGGCTTTATAATACTCTTCTCACAACTACTCATACTATAAATCATAACATAAATTATACCAAAGTATTAGTGGTATGATATTCTATTTAGTTATACCAACGTATTATGTGAAAGGTTTGAGAGATAAATAAATGTTTGAATTTTGATTTTCATCAATTACTCTAAATAGTTTAATTACTGATATTTTTACTTTATGTTTAACATAAAAAAAAGATAAAAAAATGTATTATATAATATTTTTGGCATCATATATTTAACTTTGACTATTATATTTGTCACTCATATTATTCAATGAGTTAAAACTTTGAAGTGTTTAAGAATTGGAGAATAGAAGGAAAAATATTTTTTTAATATCTTATCTAATGATATTATGGTATAGATTAAAAAAATTGGATTTGTGAAATATTTTGTTACATAAAAGTGAATATTTTCATACGAAGTGCTATAAGTTCAAGAAGAGTTATTCTAGAAAATTAGAGAAAATGTTAAGTATGTTAAAGTATGAGAGAGAAGAGAAGGTTAATTTAAGAGACTTTAAAAAATGCATAGAAGTTCATTTTAGAGTATAGGTGGTGATTTCTTAATACTAGATGTGATAACTAAACAAAATGTTGCATACATAATGATTAAAAGTTTTATTAAGATGTGGCAATCAATCATCGTGCATTCACTAATTTAAGATATTGTAATAGAAGTTACAAATGATGGATATTGGATAACAGCTAAAAGTATGTGAGTTTTTGGTCTCTTATATAACTTAATTTTTATATTATCTTATCTCACCTTCAAGTTTTATTATAAAGATGAGATTAAATAAAAAATTGATATGACAACAAGAATGAAGGTAAAGTTTGAAAAATATTAGACTAACTATTCTATTACTCTTTCTTTTTGGATGTGTTATATTGATTAAAAGATAACATTAATTTCTTTGTTATAAGAGGTTTTATATATGATTACAAAGAGAATGTTAATAAGGTAAATGATAATTTATATTATATTACTATCAAATCATGATATCAACTTTATTTATAACTAGGTCAATAAGCATTCAATCTCCTTGCCATATGTGAAGGGGAAATTTCTCATAATCTATTCTTGAGTTAAGTTTTACTTATATGGTTTGTTTCCTTTCACATATATTTTAAATTTTAATAAACTCTACTTTATCATCAAAATAATAAATACTTCTTAAATGATTGCAAGTCTTGACTTTTATTTAAGTTAATCATGCTTTCGTAATAATTTGAATGTTATCCCATATTAGAGATTGAATAAGTATCAATTTCCTAATTTTCTTGTCTAGCTTCATTTCTTTGCCTTTATCCTTTTTAATTTATTTATTTTATAAGAAGAGGAAGAAGAGAGTGTCTTGACTCACTCTCCTAGTCTTTGATCAAGTCCCGTAGTCTTATAAAATAGAATAAAAAAAAGTCCCTTTTCGCTTCAACTGTCCTGTGTATAGGTTTGATAATGGGTTGCTCTGTTTCTGTATCTCAACCATGGAATGTGACCTAGAGACTCTAGTCTCGCTTTGATGGTTACTGGTTGTTTGAATCTCTCATCTTCTTTTATTTCAAGTGTTAGAATATAACTTGTGATATTTTAAGCATTTCAATCATAATAATAGCTTTAAAATTTTTATTTGACATTGTTGCTCATATATTAAACAAGTATATAAATTGTTTATTTCCAGAAAATATGCAAGCTTTTAAATATGCAATCTCATTTTTATAATGGTATGAAAATATAAGTTGGAGGTAAAACTTAGACATTAAATTAGTAATATCATAAAAAGGTTTAAAGCCTCACATATTGTTAAACTTTTTTTCAATCTTCATGAGCTGGACAAACTCTTATCACTATATCCCATATTAGTAATTGTACAATAATACTTCATAGTAATCTCAAGCACCATATATATAACATTTAATCTAGTTGTTATATTTAGTCTTACGAAACCACCACCTATATCATTCAAGTGCCCACCACTTATATCATTCAAGTGCATTTCTTTGACATAATTTTAGATTTCTCTAAATGTTTTATAAGACATGGTAACATACTTAACATTTTCTTTAATTTTGTATAAAACATCATCACCCATGCCTTCAATCTTTCTTGAATTATGATATTCAAGGTATGTGGACAACATCTCATAAGAAAATATTCACTCTTATATAACAAAACATCTTGCAAAATAAAGTCTTTTTTGTTTTTAATTTTCACCATACTATTAAAAGATAAAGTATTATCCAATGTGAGAGAAAATATTTCTTTCTTCTACTCATTACTCTTACAAAACTTCAAGCACCTTTCCTTATAGTTCTAATATAATGTGTGAATTATTTAACTGATAAAATCAAAGTAATTTATGATTTAATTTCCAGCTTTAATCAACAAAATGAATAGTTACAGTAATATAAACTTGAGTAGTTATAATTGACCATACATAATAAAAAATAAAAAAATATATTCTACCAAAAATATTAGATAATACCTTCTTTTGTTTATTTTTCTTTTTTTAAATATAATTAGTTATAAACATTTTAGTAATGGATTTAAAATAATAATTTAAAACTTTATTTTACCTTTCAAACTCACCATATAACTAAATAAAAAATTATATTTAATAATACATCTCACAAATATATCTTAATAAATTTTAGTATCAAAATTTCATGATTTAATAAATTAGTTTTCTTATATTTACGTCATAATACTTTTTGAAATTTTTATATATAGATACAATTTTTAAAAGGATCCTTACATTATTTTCCTAAACTCTCCATCTCTTTATTAAAGATTATCCTCTAATATAGAACTCCGACTGTAAATAAATGTGTTATAATTGGAGGTGTATTTTTGGTAATAGTGAGTTGCCATAATTTATGAAACAAGTATTCCAGAAATAAATAAATAGTAATTGAGATGCAGGAGAAGTTATACGAAGAGACTTAAAAAAGAAAAAACAAGTACTTTCATGTGTTACGCTGATAAATAAGAGAGAAAGAAAATTGAGGTTTAAAGTGTGCGACAACAAGAAAAAAATTGAGCAAAATATTTTATATATAAGATTTTTTATTCTTTCTAAAAACATATATATTCGTAAATTAAAAATATTTATTTCTAGGTCAAGTTTTTTAATACCTATTCGTAAATTAGAGAGATTAATGACAGATTATGAGAGAGATTTTTAATATTACCTCCTACTGCAACAAAAAGTGGCGTATGAAGCTTTCAGTAAAAAAAAACACCATATTTTTTTAATAAAAGACAAAAGAATAATTATGTACTCATTATACTGTGTGACTTATCAATTAGAAAACTCATTTCTTTTGTAACATTTTTTTAGTTCACTTATCTCACTAAACTGGTCAACGTGGGACTAAGACAAAAACAGAATTCTTCAAACCCTCATCAGCTCCTCTTGTACAAAGTGGCTCTGGCAGTGATGTTGTGTACACACCATCTGATCCTGGTGGACTAGGCCACTCAAGGTCATGGTTTTCATATGAAGAACTAATCAAGGCTACAAATGGTTTCTCAAGTCAAAGTCTTTTGGGTGAGGGTGGATTTGGTTGTGTGTATAAAGGACTTCTTCCAGATGGAAGAGAGATAGCAGTCAAACAACTGAAGATTGGTGGAGGTCAGGGCGAGAGAGAATTCAAAGCTGAGGTGGAAATTATCAGTCGTATACATCATCGCCATTTGGTTTCTTTAGTGGGATACTGCATTGAAGATAACAGAAGATTACTTGTCTATGACTATGTTCCTAACAATACCCTTTATTTTCATCTACATGGTAAAACTACATCTGAATGATAAAAGAATGTTTCAGTTCAGTTTGATTATCTTTGATTGTTAACTGAAACTGTAATTTGCAGGGGAAGGCCAGCCTGTGCTAGAATGGGCAAACCGTGTTAAAATTGCAGCTGGTGCAGCCCGAGGACTAGCTTATCTCCATGAAGACTGTAATTATCAATCCTTATTTTTTTTTTCCTGGTCTTGAAATGCCCATAAATGCCTGTCATTCCACTTTCTTTTTGGCAAATTTTATTTTTTGGAATTGGCTAAAAACTATTTCAGAATTTGAATGAATGTGATTTTATGATGGGTGCTACAAAACATTGTAGTGTAGATAGTAGATGTGGCTTGGTAGCTAGGAGACTGGACATTATCCTGACATAGAAGGATATCAATATTTATAGAAGAAAAATTATAGTAGGAGAAAAATATATTTCTCCTATAGACCAAAATTAGCTTATGCACCTCAATTTTTGGAGAAGTTACATGAAAGAGTTCAATTCATTTTTATTTTCTTAATTTACCTTTTGTAAAGTGTTTATGAAGAAATTTATTGGACAAAAATATCTAGTTAGGTTTAACTCAAAAATATTCCCTAGTCAAACTTACACAATCTCCTTTTAAATACACGATGCTGTAGTGAATATCCATAGGCCATAGAAAATATAAAATTCAATTTACTTCTTCAATAAGGGTCTGTTATTGAAACTTATCCGTAAACATATCTAGGAAAGAAAAATAAGAGAAAAATGAACTTAACCTCTCCAAAACAAAAACTAGATTATGTATAAATTAAACTGTAGAATATATTTCTTATTAGCTTTCTTTAATGATAATTGACAAAAAGGGGAACTACATAATCAAACATGGGGTTTTCTAATGATAGATACCAAAACTCTAATTTATCATAAACTAGACTGGACAAAATAGAAGACTGAGTTAGGTACTGTGCACCCAACCAAAAATCTTGTGATGGATCAGTATTACTAGTAATGAATCAACTGATGCAGGTAGCTGACTCATCTAGTAGGGTATGCTTAGAGATGTTGTATCATTATTAATCCTACTGATTTTCATGCACATTTCAGGCAACCCTCGGATCATTCACAGGGATATCAAGTCGTCAAACATTCTTTTAGATTTCAATTGTGAAGCAAAGGTATCTGTCATTCTACTTATTCAAAGTTTGATAGTTGTTCTATTTATATCCCTCCAAATCTTAGCACTCAAAATTTTAATGTTAGGTCTCAGATTTTGGGCTAGCCAAATTAGCTCTGGATGCAAATACGCATATTACCACACGAGTCATGGGAACTTTTGGGTGAGCATTCATTAATATGTCTCCAAACTTCTGTTTTTTCTTATGCACTCTTTCATTTTCCATTCAGACTATTTAGAGTAAAAAACTGTATTAACATTTATTTCCACCCTCATAAAAGGTATGTTGCCCCCGAATATGCTTCAAGTGGCAAATTGACTGAGAAGTCTGATGTATATTCTTTTGGAGTCGTGCTTTTGGAGCTAATTACTGGGCGAAAACCAGTGGATGTATCCCAACCCTTGGGAGATGAAAGCTTGGTTGAATGGGTATATATAGATGCTAATCTTGCTTTTATCACTCTTTTTCTAGTGTTGCTATAATTTTGCTAATCTTGTGTTAGATCAGCCTAATATTAGTGTCTATTCAAACATATGTTTGGGATTAAAATCTATATATTGATATCGCTTTTCCTCCCTTTGGAGATTGTATCATTTTTCATGGTAACTTAAGTATATGATAAGGATGACAAAATCTTACTATTTTGCAAGCCCTATAGAATAGCTATGGTTGCAATCAAGCTAAAATTGTGGAATGTTTTGGCCGAATTTAGCATGCATAATTTTGTTCATATATTTGTCTCTGAAACTTTATGGGAACTTTCGTAATTTAATAAGATCAGGACTTTGTCTTCAACCGTGGTGAAGAAAGATGAAGAACTAATGCCACTGGACATGGGTTTGCTATTATTCTTCTACTTATGAAAAAGAACATAAAATTATACAATTTTAACAGCCAGAAACTGTCTAAACTTATAAACATATTCACTTAAATCATCCTTGAATGTTTTCAAGTCTAGTTTTCCTTTAAAGATGCTAATATGCTACTTTATTTTTCAGGCTCGGCCTTTACTGAGTCATGCAATCGATAGTGAGGAATTGACTAGTTTGGCAGATCCAAGGCTAGAAAAGAATTATGTTGAGAGTGAATTGTATTGCATGATTGAGGTTGCTGCTGCTTGTGTGCGGCATTCAGCTTCAAAGAGACCTCGCATGGGACAGGTAAATATTGGATATTAGAAAAGTGGCAAAATGTTCTATTTGGTTATGTCAACACACTACTAACATGGTTTTCCTGAATTGTTATGTTTCATAGGTTGTTAGAGCTTTTGATAGCTTAGGAGGTACTGATCTAACCAATGGAATGAGACTTGGGGAAAGCGAAGTGTTTGACTCTGCACAGCAATCTGAAGAAATAAGATTATTTCGTAGGATGGCATTTGGTAGTCAAAATTATAGCACAGACTTCTTTAGCCATGCTAGTTTGAATCCATGAAAGGGCACTACTGTACATATGGTTAAGGTGCATTGTTGTTGCTTTTGATTGTGGAATTGACTTCATCGGGTTCACATCCTCATTCTGGTGCCTGAATTTCATTATTCTTTCCATTAGCTGGTTTTTTAGCAGCAATTTTGCTTTTGTAATTAGAATTTGTAAAAAGTTACCTCTCACACTCATGATGACAAAGATTAACATTTTAGTTGATTTGTCATGTAATGATAGAACAGATGTGTGACTCTTTTTTGTGTGCCTTCTGCATATTCTCTTCTGAATTTTTAATCAGAGACAGCAAGAAGCTTTATGTTTTTTGCATGAGACTGAAAGGTGGAAGGGAATGGAATGGACTCTGTTGTGACATCATATTTGCATTGATAGTAAGTGACATCTCAAAGAAACCCTCTTTTTTTTTTTTTGTCAATAAAGGCAGGTAAACATGTAATGATGAACTATTTGGACTTTCTATCACAAATATGATAGTTATAGTTTGGATGAATTTTTTCATAACTTCTTTTAGAGGAGAAATAAAATAAAGTAAATATTTTTATAAATTAAAATTAGTAAAAAAATTGACCTAAAGATGATATGATGGATGTATGAAACTTATTTGAGAAACAAATTAATATTATGTTGGAATCCAGACTGAAGTTTTAGACACGGTATTTGGGTCTACTCATTCGTATCCCATTTGGTCGGTAGATGAGACCATAAATTCTTGCTTCATGGGAAAGTCTTCTTTTCAGGGTTGGTCAAAGCTCTAAGATTTGTTTTAAGTTTTAGAATCTTGTAATTATTTAGAGTATAAAGTTGGATTGGATGATGATATATTGGAAAGAAAGCGTGCCTCTGTTAGCTTTGAATGCAAGAATTGTTGCCCTCAATGTTCGGAATTATGGCTAAAACAATTTTGGCTTTGTTTTTATTCCTTTTAGAAAAGGTTAGCTTATGTTATTAATTATGCAGTAAAATTAAAATAAAAAGGTAAATTTCTTCATAAAATAAAATTGATTTGAGCATAGGTTAATCTGTTTAAACTTTTTATGTAGGTTCTTTATATATTTTTTATTATTATTTATGCATTAATTATTTTAGTCTATTAAAAAAACTCATTTTATTTTTAATCTTATTTTTCTTTCTTAAAGTATTTATCAGGAAACCTTTTTAAGTATATTCATGATTATTTTAAGAATAAATATTATTAGATACAAATAATGTGTTTTAAATTAATGAAAAATAGATTTCAATTTATTTTCCTTATTTTATCTCGATAATAATCTCCATAAAAAAGTAAAATATAAATGTTGTGACAAATCAATAGTGGTGCAAATTACTTGACTAAAGTTTGACTTGAGTGCAAGTTGTGTGACCTAATATTCCTCTCATCAGCCACTGAATAACTTCATGCTTGCATATTATACTATTTACATCACTTCCTATGCGTAATAGTTGACTTTTTTGTCACTTTGTTTTTTCTTCAAAACCACCAAAATCAACTGAAACATAAATATGATAATATGGTAGTGTCTCATCACATTTAGTTCTTCTTCTTTATCCATTTTTAAACGCAAACATTTTATTGCCAAGCATAATCATTTGCCGGAATACGCTGCTAATATATAAGAAATGAAAGTTAATATTTATAGAAATCAAGGATAAAAATAAAAGATAAAAGTAAATTATAAGAATATTAGCAGAGTATGTATAAAGATTAAATTATATTTAAATGATAAAATATAAGAAATGAAAGTCAATTTCAAAAAATTTATTATAATTTATTTAAGTTTTAGATTGAATAAAGACGATTAAGTACACAAAGTCAGAAAACGTGCATGACATGAGTGAGGCAACTAGCAATGGCATGTTTGGTTCCGTATCTCAGATGTGTTTTTTCACATTTACTGAGAATCTGACACTGTTGTAGCTTACACTTCCACTTGGAAGACATGATTTCTTACTTTTCCATCGGGTTTTCAAAGATGTTGCAGTTGATTTGGGGATTTCAGTCGTGAATCAGTGCATTTCCCCCCTGCAGACATGGGACTTTGATGAACACAAATGTGACTAAAAATCTCATTCTAAACCAAACCCTTCAGTCAAAGAAACGGTGCCTTAGTGTAATTGCAAATAACAATGAAGATAAACTTTGTATTACTTGCTGACATGTGAATCTGAAGGGTGCTCTTCATTCAACTTTCCTCTCCAGAGGATTATCTGCTCATCCTTAAACAAGATAGGAACACATGGCACTAAATCCTGCAATAATAAGAACCCTCTTAATCTCCACATGCAATTTTGATCTTCAACATAAAGACAGAAAAAAAAGGAAACAGTGAATTTTATAATGATTCTATAGACAATTAGACATTAGACATACCCTTAGCTTTACTCCAATCTTTTTGCAGTCACTGTTTCCCACATGGGTACAGTCCAGTCTAACAACCTCCTGAGTCTTAAGAGTCTCCCTCAACCTCTCCACCACATTCACATACACACCATTTCTAGCTGAATATTGAAATCACAAATTAGCACCAACGAATGCTACTTTAACCCTGATTAGGACCAAAACGCAATCTGTGGTGAGCCCTACTACCCAAATTCACTTACTGAGTTTCATGAGAGGATCTGAGTTTAATCCGATGTTTCTCATTTCTTTGTTTCCTCATATGTCAAACCCTCGTTTACATTCTTCACAAGCTTAGGATATATTGGTGCATAAGGCTTCCACAGCATGAGAGGAATAACTGGACGGTTCTTGGGATCATAATTCCGTCCTCTGTACAGAAGCAATATATTAATGTTGCAGTAGATAACTTTCCCATATGACTTGTCCTGTGGAAACAGCAATACACACATAAGGGGAAAAGAAATGCATTCAGAGAGTCTGATGAAGAATGATCAATCCTTTAAAGGTGCAAAACAACAATATGGACCTCAAGGTGGAAGCAAACATTGTCCATGTCGAGGGTTGGCACACCCAAGCACTTAATTCTCACAGCTTCAGCCTTCTTCCAGTGGTTATGGATGTCATCCAACATGTTGTGAGTGACTCCACCCTTTCCTAGCACAACACATACCAACTCATTGATTTATATACATAAATTATCTTCTCTAACTGCTATTTAGATAGAGAAGTGAAGAGTTATAACACTCAGGTAGTGTTTGACCTAGTTTTTTTATGTTCATAAACTATTTAAGGTTGAAGTTAAACATTTACATAGAAGTTCTTCTTCCTCGTCATTCTTTTACACTCCTCCATTATCACTCAAACCCAATAACCCTGACTACCAACGTCATTAACATGGTGCAACCACAAATCTGATATACTTATTATTTAAAACTACCACAAATAAAATATGAAGTTTTTTTCTGGATTTTATGTTGACAGCTTTGTAATTTAGTACAGATTTACATATAATTTTAAAGTTTAACACAACCGGTACAAAAAAAAAAATGTTTCATCACAATTTTAGCCATTAATAAAAACAACAGCTAAATTCCATATTTTTCTATCAGTATCAAATGAACTTTATCATATTTCTGAACTTAGTGACAAATTGCTTTATGAACTTTTCAACTCAGTATCAAATGATCCTAAAAAACACGATATTACTTTTAAATTGATACTTCAACATTAAAACACAACAAAATAACTTCATAAAACTTAACATGTCATAACTGTGGCACTTCGCACAAATCGAGAAACTAAATAAAAAAATTGGTTTTTTTCATAGTATAAATTGTCATTAGTTTTCATAGCTCCGTTTCTTGAATTCTTCTTTCTCTTCTTTACTTTGTAGGGCTTTGTAGGATGAGAAAATGGTGGGTCGTATAAGTCGTCGGAAATGAAATGGCCGAAGAAACAACGCTGATGGAGTGGTAAACTACTGATGGATAATGAGATGATGTGGTTCCGCATATCGCGACGTTGAAAAGGTTAGAATAAATAGACCGAAAATGTTAAACATATAATAATATTTACAAAGCTTTTAGAAAACAAAATTTAATGTCAATTATCAGAGTGGCGCAGCGGAAGCGTGGTGGGCCCATAACCCACAGGTCCCTGGATCGAAACCAGGCTCTGATAAAATGTTGACTATTTTTGTTTTTTGATCATTTTGAGCTTAAAAAAACTGGAAAACTGAGAGTTCTATATAAGGTTATTTTGTTATTTGATCATTTGATGTTAGAAATGCTGGAAGGTCATTTTTTACTGAGAGTAATGTTGACTAATGCTGGAGAACAACATACTGAGAGTTCTATGGTTATTAAAAAGTAACCAATTGCATAATTAATTTTGTCTGAATACTTTAGGCATATACATATTATTTTGCTAAATAGTGATGTTAATCTTTTCTCGAAGTCAAATATAGATTCTCCTTAAAACTCCAAAGCCTCAGATTCTTTGACATGATTTGTCCCATATCATTCTGATCATAAAAAATTCAAATAGTTCAGGCTGATCATACTCCTAGTTTGAGACTTCCCCAAAACTAAAGATATATAAGGTGAGCAGCATTGCACACATCCCATTCCTCAATTGTTTACACAAAATAAAGAAAACAGAAATGATAAAATCATAAAAGAGTAACGTGGGCAATTCTAAGATGATGAAGAATTACTGAAAAGGAATGAAGGAACTGATTTCTTTAATAAGAAGCTATGCAATATAATCCTACAAAGAATTCAAGCTATGAACAGTAACTGCTACAATCTATGATATAAAAAGCAGATTATAAATTAACACTGTATAGCCTCAAATGGCCAAAAAACTAGGTGTACAGTTTTATTCATCTGTCCAACTTCACGTCCAAATCATGGTTTGGTCTTGTGCACCATGCCATTACCAAGTATTTTAACTTCAACTAAAAAGCTAGATAAGGTTCCATATTGTTCGATTAATTATTTAATCAATATACTTTGCATGACAACGGAAATTTATTTCCGAAAGAAACAGGGACATTTTTGGGATTTTAAAATTTTAAAAAAATTAGGAGGTGTTACCCTTAGTTCATATTCTACCGGACAAGATGTCCGACTTTCATATAACAAATGAGAAGCAGCAGCTGCTCATATTAATATTAAATAAATAAAA